ACTTATATCGGGCTTTGGGGACTATTTCCAAATTTTTGGGGATTATTTCGGATTTATGGAGTTATCGGGCTTCTCGGGAATATTTTCGGGACTGTTGGCACTTTCGGGGCTATTTAGGGATCTTTGGGACTAATTTCGGATTTTTGGGACTCCCGGGACTATTTCGGGATTATCGGCTAATCGACTAATTTAGGCTATTTGGGACTTTTGGTTCAATTTCGAGGTTGTCTTGAGTAATTTCGGGATTTTTGGGACTTTCAGGACTGTATCCAGATTTTTGGGACTATGTCGGGATTCTCAGGAATAATTTCGGATTTTCGGGGTTATTTCGAGATTTTTGGGACTTTCAGAACTACTTTTGGATTTTTGGAACTAGCGGGACTATTGCGGGATTTTTGGGACTATTTCGTAATTATCGAAACTGATTTCGGGATTTTTGGGACTTTTGGGAGTATATCGATTTTTTGGGACTTCTTTTGGATTTTTTAGACTTTCGGGACCATTTCGGGGTTTTCAGGAGCATTTCGGTATTTTTGAACTAATTTCGGATTTTTGGGACTTTCGGGACTATTTCTCCATTTTTGGGGAAAATTTAGGAATTTTGGGACTTGCAGAACTATTTAGGGATTTTTGGGACTTATTTCGGATTTGTACAACTTTCGGGACTATTTCGGGATTCTCGGACCAAATTTCGGGACTGTTGGGACTTTCGATGCTTTTAGTGATTTTTGGGACTCTCGGGACTATTATCGGGAGTAATTTAGGTATTTTTGGTACTTTCGAGACTATTTCCAGATTTTTGGGACTTATTTTGGATGTTTGGAACTTTCGGGTCTATTTCGGGATTGATGGGAGTAATTTCGGGATTTTTTGCGAATTTCGGGAGTATTTTTTTTAATTTTTGGGACTATTTCGGGATTCCCGGAACTGATTTCAGGACTTTCGGGATTATTTAAGAATTTTTGGGACTGCCGGGATTAATTTGAGATTTTCGAGACTACTTTGGAGCTTTCGGGACTTCCGGGATTCCTGGGACTAGTTTCGGGAATTTTGGGACTTTCTGAAATAGTTTCGAAAGTCTGAAAGTTCCTAAATTAGTCCCAAATTCCCAAATGGTCCTGAAAGTCTCAAAAATCAAAAAATAGTCCCGAAGGTCCCAAAAATCCGAAATTAGTCCCAAAAATCCCTAAACGGCCTCAAATGTCACAAAACACTAAAATTAGGCCCAAAAACAAAGATAGTCCCGGGGTGCTAAAAATCCTGATGTAGTCTCGAAAATCCCGAAATTAATCCCGAAAATCCCGAAATTCCCAAAATTAGATCCGAGACTCTCAAAATAGTCCAGAAAGTCCCGAAATTAGTCATTATAAGCCCGAAAATTCCGAAATACTCCCGAAAACCCAAAAAATCCCGAAATAGACCCGAAATCTCCAAAAATCCAAAATAAGTCCCAAA